TCCCAGGAAGGGCAGGAGCCATTTCGCAGCCGGGATCTGTCTTCGAGGCACCTGGCAAAGAGGGAGACGAGGCATTTCCAAGCAGCGCTTTGGGTCCTCCGCAAACAAAGCCCTGGCCAAGGAAACGACACTGGCTGGAATTAAGTGCAATGTTCCCGTGCCACAGGCTTAAATAAATAAACACAGTCTTTGTGCCCTTTAGAGAAGGAATGAGCTTCTCGGCGTGAGCATCAGCCTTTAAATTGATTTCTTGCTCGCTGGCTTCCTCTCGCAACCTGGCTGGTGCATCTCCGCCAAGCGCGGCCTCGTTCCTGCCGGGCTCCCGGCCTCCGCCGCGGCCCGCTTTGCACCCCCTGATTCCCTTCCTTCGCCCAAATCTCCAGGGGAGGATTCGACCCCAGGAGAGTGACTCACCAGCTTCTCCGAGAGAGCCAGTGAGTCACCGAGCGGCAGAAAATCGGGATAGAGGAGCGGAGCCGCCTGGCAGATGCGATCCCCGGCGCGTCCCTCCAGGCCGCCTCCACGGCCACATGCGATGGGTCACACATGCGCCGATTTAAATCCGTTCTCTGGTGGCTTGGGGTTTGCCCGGCTCCAGGGCAGCGGGTCTGCGGGAGGGCTGGGAGCCAGGCGTGGGGCCTCGGGTGCAATCCTGGCGGGCTGCCGGGGCGTGCAGCAGCAACGTGGCCTCCGAGAAGGCGCCCCAAGTCCTCAGCCAAAACCAGGGGAAGGAGAAACTGCATTTTCCAAGTAATTTCTGTGTGTGCACGTATAGGAGAGCGAATATCCCGTGGCCCTTGTACAGCAGCTCCTAGCAGGGGTCTCAGAGCACTGCGGCAATGTGCAGACCTGCGTGTGGCTTTGGAGGGTTTTGCCTGCAAGGGACAAGGGAAGGAAAGCAACAAGGACTGCTGCAGTGCAGGGGGTGGGGGGATCCTTGGGGGCAGGGATCTGTGGAGGCCAGGATCCTTCGGGGAAGGGGATCCTCAGGGATGGGGATCCTTAGAGGCAGAGATCTTTGGGGTGAGGGTCTTTGGGGACAGGGATCCTGAGGGACAGGGATCGTTGGGGATGGAAATCCTCAGGGAGAAGGATCCTTGGGGATGGGGATCCTCAAGGATGGGGATTCTTAGAGGTGGGAAACCTCAGGCATGGGGAATCCTCAGGGATAGAGACCCTCGGGGACGGGGATCCAGGGGGATGGGGATCCTTTGGGATGGGGGTCCTTAGGCGTGGGAACCCTTTGGGATGGGGATCCTCAGGGAGGGGGGCCCTTTGGGACAGGGACCTGTTGGGACAGGGATCTCCAGGGACATGGACCCTTAGGGACAGGGATCTCCAGGGACAGGGATCCTTTGGGACAGGGATCTTCAGGGACAGGGATCCTTAAGGACAGGGATCCTTAGGGACAGGGATCCTTTGGGACAGGGATCTCCAGGGACACAGACCCTTAGGGACAGGGATCCCTTGGCACAGGGATCTCCAGGGACACGGACCCTTAGGGACAGGGGTCCCCAGGGAGGGGATCAGCCCCGCTGGCGACAGGGACCTGGCTGCGGGCCGGGTAGCGTGCAGGGCCGGGGG